ACTGTGAGGCTGTACTCCCGCGCGTCGTTGATCGTGCCGATGTCGAAGAGGACGTTGTGGATCCTTGCCCTTGTCCTCGTCGACCAAATGCAAAGCGTTTGGAACCGGGAGGAATGAATGGTTTCCCTTTTCCTTTTGGGGCTCCACTTGACTTACCCCCTTTTCCTTTTCCTTTTCCTTTTCCTTTACCACCACCTCCTTTCTTCCCTTTTTCTCCATGACCTCCCATGTCACCAGGGCCACGACAGGGTAGACGCCACGCGCCAGTGCCAGCTCCCGCATCTTCTTCCGGCTGTCCAAGTAGGAGATTTATGCCTCCTTCGTGGCAATGGCTGCTTCTTCAACTTCTTGGGGTGGCGGTTCATCATCGTCACCAACGTAGTCCACTTCGTCGTAGTCCTCGTAGAAGAGCTCCTCATCCTCATAGTTGTGGTAGTAGGCGTCTTCCGTCTCGTAGTCATAGTCATCGTCGTAGTGCTCGGCCAGGTGGATGCCGTTACCACTCAGCGCTGAATCCTTCATGTTCGGCCTGCTGTCTCCACCGAACATCCTCGTCATCGCCTTGGCCACATTCTTCACGTTGAGTTCTCCACCGCAAAGGGCCTTGATCTGAGGGTGGGTCCACCGAGGCACTCCAGCTCTGCTGAGCATGTGCCATCCCGCTAACAGCGGTGGCACTTCCACTTTCAACTCCTTGAGTTTCCGCAGCATGGTCTGGTGTCGCACGATGTAGGCCTGCAACTCCTCGTTCTTCTCCCGCGCGAACTGCTCGAAGAACTCCTGACATCGTTCAGGCAATTCCACCTCCTCTTCGTGTTGAAAGAGGAGATCCAGCGTCTGCCTAATTGGCAGGAAGGGGTTCTCGGAGAGCTCGATGTCGTCATAGTCATTGCCCTCCGTCGCATCCCATGCTGAGTCCTGCAGCTGCGACATCACCAGGAACGCACCCTCCACGGCAACGTCGCTTCCACGCCGCAAGCATTGGCGACTGAAAAGTTCAAGTCGCCGTCGGTAAGCTCTCTGTAGGTCCGTTGACACAGACCCTGTGCCGAGGGCGCCGATTTGGCCAACCCGGAATCCAATCCCTTGTAGTAGGCACCCGCACTCTCGCCAGCGCCATTGGCCACACTTGGCCCCGCCGCGTCGTCAGCAGCGGCAATGGGATCACCTCCATCTTGTCCAGGATGTTGATGGTTACGGCCAGCTCCTCGACCTCCTTTCATTTCCTCGGTAGCCCCAGCCCAGATGGGCTCCGCTACCAATCACAATCACCAGGGGATAGCTCACGAAGTCCTCCCTGCAGCTTGTCGAAGCGGTCACGCCGCCATGCAGCCTGGGTCAGCTCAAGGGGCCTGAGAGATCGGGCGTTGAGCCCACGAATTGCGGCAACCATGCCACCTCACCCCAATGACCATGCTACACATCAATGGTCGTGAGACTTACATTGACAGGTATATATATATATATACACACGGCAATTTTCATTGCGGGGGTTTGTGGAAAATGGAGGATTTTCTTTCGCCGCATGGCAGTTTGAATTGGAACAAACTTGAACATTTGGTGTTTTACCTCCAATATATTGCCCTTTTAGTTGGAGAGATCACGATCAACCACGATTTTTTGATTTTAGACAAACCCACAGCATTGTTTTGGAGGACCAAGATACTACAATAATACTGATAGGGTACTATACCGCACAGACAACATCCACCGACCAACCTATGCAATACACGCACACGCCATACATACACGTACATGCAGACAGCCAGACATAAAAACACATGCAGGGCAGGGCAGGGCAGGGCATGCGAGGTAGGCGGATAAAGTACACCGCCGATTCCACATACCAAATTCCATGCATTATATGCACAGCATACTACCTAGAAACAAACCTCATCACCGCCTAGAGCAATACATGACCTAACATCGCGCCAAATCACCCTACACAGCATCACATCCAGTTCTTGTCACATGACAGCAAACATCATGGCATAACAATATGGCACTCGTATGTTTCGTTCCATGGAGGTTTGTTTATTCGTGCATATCACATCTTAATTTTCGCCAAATCAACCAACCCAAGCCAAACTGACCGAACAGCACAACATGTAGAATCATAAGAAGTCAAAATTTAATGAAATTTATCTCAGAGCAGCACACTACATTGTATGCAAGAAACTGCACCAAGGCAATACAGGCCGACGTGTCTTTTTTCAGCAGACAGCTGAACATCCTACATTGCACCCGTATCCACGTACGAACTCATCCTTTCATACATGCTATACTTGTCACTTGGATGAACTGCCATACCCAAAAGCAAACACACACACAGACACAAACACACAGGCCTCCAGCCACGCGCATTGTCTAATGTGCAACTTTATTTAGCCATGCCATATGTACACAGATGCATGTAGGCACAATATGTGTAATTTGGACATACACACCTTCCATGTCGGTTCACCACATAGCCTCACACGGATTTTTCGCATTGAAATCCCATATCACGAGCTTTGCTGCCAGGCTGTGAATGAAGCCAGGAGCAATCCTCGTGGTCATGTGCAGGTTGGGCCTGACAGGAATCCTGTGATCAAAGACTTGGTTTCAAGTGAAATCTGGGTGCAGGTCAAGGTCAAGTTTAGAGAAAATGAGCTGTTTGATTTTATTTTAGTTCCGCATTCATTATTCTCACCGCTCACGGGGCCTCTCATGCTTTCAAAATCACAAAGCATATTTCCGTTTGTCAGAAACCTTGAGGAACACGTTGTGCTTGCGGGAAACTCTTCTTGTGCAAAAGCAGTCAGGATGTCCAATGTCTTCATCCAGGCGAATTGCACATGATGGGGCGGGTTTACAACTCCAAGTCCATCAGCCTACTGGCACAAGCTTTGACGACTATATAGATGAATGGATGTGTGGGTGGATGGATGAACTGACAGCCAGACAGTGAGAAAGGTTCTGACTTTGACAGTCGCGACAAGAGCAAATGGTGTATACGTTAACAGCAATGCTTTCCATCCGTCGGACATATGTCCACCACCTCATGCAGACACAGAGAAACCATTACTCTTGAGATACTTTCTGAATGTTTTTTTCTTGTCCCTTTTCAACTCAGACTTGCAAGTCTTCCGCACCAATTAATTCCCGCTGATCAAACTCTTCCTGCAGGAAGGATGCCATCGCAATCATCACAAGGACCACAAGCTTTTCTCTCTGCGAGAGGACACCTGGTCTTTGAGTTGTGAATCTCCGTGAATCTGTGACTGCGACGGACTGCCATGATGGTCACTGGAGGTGACCCCAAGCGATACGCTTCTCTGGAGTTCAGCAGAAATTATTTTTATTCATTCTTGTCCTGAAACACTGAAACAAAGGTTGCATCGGACAAATTCAACTGATAGATTTGATAGCGTCAAAGAACCCAAATCAAATCATTGCGGGCATTGGGCCAGCTGTTCGGATTTGATCTAACCCACCTCTGAGTCAATGTCCTGCAATCTTTTTTGCACGGCAGGGAGCTTGGCAGAAATCTCCACCAAGCGACCTTGTGTAGACAGACCTAGGTGCTGAAACTGTTGTCCTTGGTTTCGAGCAGAACACATTTGACATACTTTTTTTGGAGCAGGAAGAACAGTCGGTTGGTGGAAGATTTCTGCCGGATGAGCCAAGTCTGGGTCCGTACAAACTTGACTGCCATAGCAGTCGAATCACAGAATTGGGCTTCGACAGGGATTTGTCCCGGGATTAATTCTTTTGAACTTTGCTGTCTACACGGGTTGGTCTGAAAACGAGGTACCCACAATTTTACAGGATTATCGTTAAATTATTTAAATTGGCCTAAAATTGAGGGTATATCCAATTTTCAGCAGCCATTCCACTTCATAATGGAAAAGCTCAGAGGCTCCGCCATGGCCAACATTTGGATTTCGCACAAAGTATGGGGTCGGGTTGTCAAAGAATAGGGTAGTGCTTCCTCATCAATCTCCCCATTAAAAGGGCGACTGTATACATTTGTGACACTATTGCTGGACAAACCCAAAAACATCATGGGTGATCTTAGGCAGATGCGGCCCTATGAGTCCATGGTCCTGCCAGGCCCAAATTCCAAGCCCAAGGGTCTTGCGGGATGATACAATCATATATAAACACATATAAACACTTGAATGCATGCCTAAAAAGTCAAGAAATTGTCCGACAAATGAACACATGAAATCCAAATTGCCACGGATTGCCGGTACGAGCTATCACCTTGCTGCTCATGATTGCTGGTGGTAAACCCCGCCTGAAACATGCTTTCCCCTGGCAATCTAACCCGGTAAATGTCTTTCACGCACCAAAAAAGGGGATTTTCCATTGCCATGTTTGATTACCGGAAGGTATCCTTTTTGTTGAGCAAAGGATTCGAAAGACAATTTACGTATCTAGCTTTTTCAAGTACAGGCCGCTCCAGAATGATTTTTCTCACGCGGTGCACAGTGACTGTCTGAAAGATAGTCCTGGAACCCACCTCCCATAGCACAAGCATCACCGCAATTGCACAGCCGCATGTCTGACTTAGGTCATTTGATTTTCTCTTGATGTGCAACACATTGACACAACACGATGTTGTCATGCCTTCATGCCGATGGTTGGTGGTGCATAGGATAGATTGAATCTGACCTTCCCCAAAAGGTTTCCCAAAAACTGACAGGCAGGAGATTTCGTTCGCTCAACACATCTTCACACACACACACACGCGCACAGACACTTTACTGCACAGGTAGAAACAGTATACAGACACATCCTCACTTTCACACATACTTTGAACGTCTTTCAAATCCGCATACAGATATGCAACTATACATGGACATCGGCGCCTGCAATTATGCGGATGCAGGTATAATCATATATACATGTTATATAAGTCATATATAAATTACACATAATATGTATGTATACATATATACATATGACACCTCATGTTCATTCTTTCACTCGGCTGCAGCTTCTACGGCTCTCAGATGAGTCAGGCTTTAGCCACCGGAGTATCTACAGGTACTTCATTGGCTGTGCTGTGGAAGATCCTGGAGGGCGTTCCTTCGAATAGCCCACTCGCGCTTTGCCCCACCAGACGGTGGTGGGAACTCCACTGGCCAAGCCTGGTCTTTGGAGTGCTGCTGGGCCTGGTACTGGGACCTATAATCGAAGCTGTGGTTGGGCTTCGAATCTACCTGTACCAAGCAGTGATCCAAAGATCGCTGGGCCACCTGGCGGCTGCTCAATCAGCTAGACCTCTTCATCGCCTGGCCTAGCCAGGCGTATATGGACAACCGGGTCTCCGAGCTTGAGGAGACTGTCGAGGAGTTGAAAGAGGAGCTGAGGTTTGTCCGTAGCGAAGTCAGGCGGCTTCGCCGACTGGTGGAAGATCGCGACAGCAGGGAGAGTGCCAGTGGTGGATCCCATCGCTCTTCGGTCCCCCCATCAGACGGGAGTTACAGCTTAGTTGGCAGGGAGAGGGAGTTCAACGAGAACGCTTCGCGATCTCGGAGCGACACTCCTCTTACAGCAGCTTCGCTGTCTGGGACTGACCCAGAGAGGAGCGGCAGCTCTCGTGTTGCGCAGGGCTGGATTGAACGGGAGGCCATCTGTGACGAGATCGGTGAGTTCGTCAGGCGGAGTCTTGACGGAGATCATCGAGGTGCTTCTGGGCGAGATCGCCTCCATTTACCTTCTAGGATCTGGTTGGTCGAACGCTGACGTGGTTCGTCGCAGGGGCATCGGCTGAGATGCTGCACAAGGGAGCCTTTGCGCTGCAAAGGGCAATTGCTCCTTCAAGACCCGACTTCTAGGATCTGGTTGGTCTTCCGAGACTACGAGGGTCTTAGTTATCGACCCGTCCGGGTTTGCAGAACCTGGCAAAGCTGCAAGGATCTGGTGAAGCGTGGGGACGGCACAGGTGATTCTGTGTTCGTCGGGCTGCCTAGTGAAAGGGAGGCCTGCAGGGTAGCTGAAAGGTCTGGTTCGGGCTGGCCTTCTGGCCGCTGAGATGGATGGTTTAGACGGGCTTGAGGAGCGGCCTGAGGAAGAGGCTCCTGCTAGGCCTTTTGTGGTGCGTGAAGACGGCACTGCTGAGTTCCACTACGACTTATGGAGGCTTCGTACCCCTCTGGGAGTCTTAATTCAGTGCATTATGGTCAGTCATGTTGCCGATGGACGCTACTTGGCTGCGTTCCCACAGAGTGCTTGGCATCGGCAGACACAGAAGCGGAGTCTGCCCCCTGTGCTGAGCAAGCCTTTGCTTGTGGAGGTCTTGGTGGCTCACCTGTCAGATCGGCAGGAGGCTTTGGAGGACTATATGAAGGTTTGGGTTGGCTATATCACGGCGGAGACCTACGAGATGATGGAGCCCTACCTGGACGGCATGCAGATCGACCAGGAGTTCAAGATGGCTGCTGGTACCGAGTACTTGCCCTACGCCCCTGCCTTGATCGAGGCCTTGGACGAGCGGTTCGCTTTCCTATCAGCGGAGTCTGGAACTGGGGGCGGAGATGCCTTGCGAGAAGGGCGCGAAGGGTCTGGCTTGGGAGAAATGTCCGACATACCGTCCCGGGTTGCCTCCCTCGAGACTCTCATGGACAAGATGAATGGCAACCTCGAGGCGGTGTTGGGGAAGCTCGGACACGGGCACGTGCGGGGGGCAGCCTCTACGCCTGGTCTAGTGACCTTTGCTCCCTCAGCGTCTCAAATACCCGCGAGGAGCGGCAGGCAGGATGCTCAGGCAAGGAAGTTTCCAGGCCTGGATGCATCGGTGGTTTCAGCGGCTTTGGCAGCCGGAGTTCCCGAGGAGAATCTCTCGGAGATGCAGCGGCTGTTGGGTGCTGGAGGCAGAGCTACGCATCGCCTTCGCGAGCCGGCTTTGAGGAGCCATGGGAAAAAGGAGAAGGCAGTGGAGCCTTTGGACGAAAGCGAAGAAGAAGCCGACCTCGACTTCCCTGCCGGAGAGCCTGGTTCAGTAGAGGTTGGAGAAGCAGCCACCATGGAAGGAGCAATGGCCAAGCTGACGGAATTGGTGGCGCTGTTGAGCGCCGACAAGCTGAAACGTGCCAAGTCTACGAAGATGGATCTGGCGCTCGAGAACCTGGCAGGCAGCCTTGGTGGGGCGGAAAGCTCCTCGGGCTCCAGTGGGAAGCGGGCGGCAGCTGCGAGAAGGGCTTTGAGAGTTGGCTTGCAGGAGACACCAGAGGAGATCAGCTCCGTGATAGAGAAGCTGATGTTGGAGGACTTGCTGCTCCGAACCCAGGCGCCCGGCATGCCTGCCAGCGACTTCAATGCTCGAGCCTGGGTGGAACACCGGAGCCGGATAGGTGCCTACAAGACGTCAGCCTACATGTCATGGGCGGCCGCTGGTGTTCTGGACGACCTGGTGAGGGGTCGAGTGAGCCATGCGCGAGCCCGCGCTGGACTCATGCTGGTGATGCTGGACCAGGTCGCAATAGACCGGGGTTCTTGGGTGTTGGGAGCAGAGCTGATGCTGGAACAAGGTCCACCTCTTTCTACCTTGGCATCCCATACACTCCCGTCGGTGTCAGACGGGGAGTCGCCTTTCAGCAAGATCCTCGACAGCAGGTGGGCCGAGGTGATGCACAGCCACCTGAGAGATGCAGAGGACTACTTGCAGAAGCGCCGCAACCTTGGGAAGAAGACGACCGAGGACGCCGAGAAGGACAAGGAGAAGGATGGGGTGCGGCCGCAGAGGCCCAAAGCGAAGGCAAAAGGGAAAAGCGCAGCCGAGACGGCTCACGATGCATGAACTATGAGACCAAGGCTGCTGCAGTGGAGCCTGGCCTTCTGGTTGACTCCGACACGAAGACGGTCCGGGTCCCGGGAGCTCGAGCCCCTACTGTCAAGGTTCCGGCCTTTGTGAATTCGTGGCTCAGGGTGGTGACGAAGCACGGCGCCTCCTTGGGCTCTTTTGTGCGCGCTTTTCTCAGCAATGCGCCTCAGCTTCGTGACGAGGCTGTCTCACTGGGGCCCATTTGGCCTATTCCTGCACCATATCCAGAAGTTTTTGGACGCGATCCCGCTTTTGGAGGGTCTTGGAAAAAACGGAGACTCGTGGTGCAGGTCCTGGTTTTGAACTGGCTGTTTTTGGGGAAACCAAGCACATGTCCCCCGCAGCTCTGGGTGGGCCAAAGCCTTACAGGACGGCAGTGGCGCAGAGTGCGCCTCTTGGAAGACCTCAGTGAAGATTCGAATTCAATGCTTGAGGTTGATGCTTTGGGCATGGCGCGTGCTGCTATAAAGATGGAGTCCTCGGCTGACCAGCTGGACGCCTTGCACCGTGCTTTGCTTTTTTCATCTTCTTTTTCTTCCAGCTCCTATGGTGCTGACAGTAGCTCTGTGAGTAGAGCCGAGCGTGAAAATGCTGGAGGTGATGGGGAGTGGGCTGCTGGGCTTTATGGAGCCTTCGTGGGCACGGTGAAGCCTGATCAGGGTGTGGTCGCGAAGCCGATACATGCTGACCGGCTTGCGTTTGTCGGTAGCCCTGGTTTTGACCCTCTTCCTTATCTAGACCCTGTTACTGCTCATGCCTATGAGTTTCCTCTTGAATGTGTTCGGCATCATGATGTTGAGCCGCCCCCTCAGGTTAGTGTTCATGGTTCAGTTGAAGAACGAAACAAGTTGTACCAGAAGATGGCTCAGGGTGGTAGACTAGTTCCGGTTCCTGCAGAAGATGTCAGAGAAGGGCTAGCCTGTGGTTTGTTTTCAGTGCCAAAAGACTTGGAGAGGGATAGGCTCATTTTGGATGCCCGTCCACCCAACACAGTTGAACCCGTTCTTAGCACGTGGACTAGGACTATGAGCAGTAGTACATGTTTGCATGGCATAGAGCTTGGGGAGGATGAAACCCTGATCATGAGTGGAAGAGACATACGCGATTTCTTTTACCAGTTCCGAGTTTCCCCTCAACGCTCTCTGCGAAATGTTTTGGCTGGAGAGCTATCTGCGGCAGACCTGGAGTTTATCTTCAATCGGCCGTTCGATGCCCCCGGCTATGTAGGTTTGAACACCCTGGCAATGGGCGACCTTAATGCGTGCGAGTTTGCTCAAGGCTCTCACCTGCAGCTTATCCTCAGCTCTGGGGGTGCGCTGGCAAGTGAGGTTATGATGATGCACAGGCCTTGCCCTCGCGGACTGCTTTCAGTGGGGGTCGTGATTGACGACCTGGTCTGTTTCCAAAAGGTTTTGTCCAGCGCTTTTCTGGACGGGAACTATGTGGGAAAGTCTGAGTTGGATGAGCGCATGGATGTCATCATGGCCAAGTATGATGAAGTGCGTCTTCCGACCAACCCCAAGAAGGCCTTTGACAACGCTACTAGCTCTTCGTTTTGGGGAGTTCAAGTCGATGGCAAGAAGGGCACAGTCCGAGGCAACGAGTCGAGGCTATGGCCCTTGCTCCTGATCACTATGAGGGTGTGCAGCTTGGGGCTGAGCACCGTGGGACTCCTGCGCTCTTTGGCCGGGTCTTACATCTCGGTGCTGACTCTGCGGAGGAGGCTCCTGTCTGTGATGAACCTGGTCTTCGATGCAATTGCAGGGTCTGACAGTGATGGACAGGTGCTCCGGCTCTCTGGGGCGCTCAAGGACGAGCTGCTGACCATGATGGTGGTGTCCACCTTGGCAGTTGTGAACTTGCGCGCCAAGACCATTGGCACCGTTCGGGCCACTGATGCTTCTGACTGGGGTATGGCTGCGGTCGCTGGCGAGGTGCCGGTGCCAGTGGCTCGGGAGGCTATGAGGCTTAGCCTTAGCAAGAGTTGCTGGACCCGTCTATTGCCCCCTGGGAAGGCCTGGCTTAGGGCTAAAGGCCGACTGGAGCCCTGGGACGAGCTGCCTGGTGAGGAAGTATACGATGTGCACCCTTTTTGGGAGCAGCTGGCAAGGAGTGTGGTTTACAAGGAGCAATGGCGAAAGAAACACGTGAGGCCTGTTCATGTGAACATAGGCGAACTTCGAGCCCATCTACGTGAGGAGGCCCGGCTAGCAGTGAACCATGTCTCCGTACGTGTACCCTATGCACTGGACTCTCAGGTTGCTTTGGGCTGCTTGGTGAAGGGGAGAGCCTCTTCGAAGGCACTGAATGTTGAGCTGTCCAAGAGCATCCCACACCTGCTTGGGTCGGACCTGTATGCAGGGTATGGGTACTGGCCGTCGAAGCTCAATCGGGCCGATGGGCCCACTAGAGATGCCGACCCTGACCCTCCTGACGCCCCGCTGCCTTTTTGGTGGGAGCCGGTCGTGGCTGGTAGCTATGAGCGGTTGGATGCCTGGTTGAATGAACTTGAAGAGAGCGTTGTCGGAACACCTGTGGAACAGCGAGCCCTGAGGTTGGTGCCTGTAGACCTATGAACCGGAAAGCAAGTAAGGGCTGAGGAGAGACGTCCAGGGAGAAGAGCGGCGGCCAAGGACAAGAACATGGCACGCCTTGGTCATCGACGTGTTAGTCGTGAAGGAGCTGACGAAGGTCCACTCTCTGAAGAAGTTGGTGGTGATGGTGGTCTTCCTCTTCGTTGCGATGGTGATCTTCTTTGTGGAGATGTTCTTCCTGCTGTTCCTCTTGGACGCGCTGCTGATCGAGGTCTTGGCCTACGAGATGTTCTACCTGGTGGTCCTCTACGAGCTGACGGAGTTCCTGATGGGCGACTATGTGGTGACGTTCCTCTTCGTCCTGCGGCGCTGCCTGCTGGAGCCCTACATGATGACCTACGACTTCATGATCCTCTTCGTGCTCCTCCTCCTGAAGGTCTACGTGGCGATCGAGGTGGCGGTGGTCTTCAACGAGTCCCCCCTGGTGGCGATGATGGTGCTGGTCTTTGTCCTGGAGTTCCTCAACGAGTTCCTTCTGGTGGCGATGGTGATGGTGGTCTTTGTCCTGGAGATCGGCTACATGGTCAAGAGGGTCAACTATGCGCTGAAGCTTTGGAGCTTCTTGGGTCCTTTGATGAGAAGCAGTTCCTCTTCCCCAATGCAGAGAAGAGGTCCTTCACCGTGCCCGGAGCTCTTGACTTATACTCCGGGAGAGCCGGGGTAGCAAAGGCTTTGGTAGCTGGGGGTTGCCCTTGGGTGCTGACTTTTGAGATCACAAGGAGTTCAAAAGAAGATCTGCTATTGCCCGAGAATCAGCAAAAGGTGTTGAGGCTGATCGTTTTGAGGGCTGTCAGGTGCGTAGGGTCAGCTTTGGTTTGCAAGTCCTTCTCCGTGGCCATGACGCCTCCTGTGCGAAGCTCTCAGTTTCCTAGAGGAGTGCCGTGGATGTCGGCCGCCATGAAAGAAAAGGTGCGAGAAGGGAACGCCATGAGCGACTTCAATGCTGAAGTTCATGTTCTCTGCTTTGAGAGCGTTGAGGAGACCCCTGAAGAGGTCGTGTACTTTTGGACGGAGAATCCTGATAGCTCTTTTTTGTGGAGACAAAGGAAATACCGCCGTTTTAGACGGCCTGAGTCCCTTGACCTCTTCAGGTGTGACTTTTGCCGTTTTGGCACTGGCTGGAGAAAGAGGACCAGAGTTGCCACAAATATCCCCGGGTTGAAAGGCCTGAGGATGTTATGCTCCTGCGTGCAACCTCACCAGCGCTTGCGGGGACAACACCCTGTGCTCAAAGTGCCGTGGACCGCGGTGGCCCAGCCTTACCCGCGCGGGTTCAGCAAGCTGATAGCAGGGTGCTGTCTAGAAGCTGTAGGATGGTTGAAGCAGGGAAAGCTGAACATAGCTGCCTGCAGCAAAAGTGGAAGCCTTCGAATCGGAGAGGCTACAAATCCAGGGCCCAGAGGGGTCAGAGCCCCTCGCGGCTTTTCCTTGGAGGAAGCCCCAGTGCAATGTTGGGCTTCTATTTGCCTGGGAGAACGGCGATGGACTCTTTTTCTGGAATGGTGCAGCCTGTTTTTGACCGGAGACCCAATCAACCTTTTTCTGCAAGTGCCGCTGTTTTTGGCTCATGCCATTCGGAAGTATGGTGACAGGGAATTCATGTCCGGCGGGTCCCTGCTTTACTACAGGCACCTCGTGCTGGTTTCCTTGCGGAAGATCCCAAGCATGCGGCCTTTCGCCAGCATTTGCTGGGACTTAGCCACAAGGTGGGAGAAGGCTGAACCTACAAGACACCGCCCGCCAGTACCTGAGATCTTAGTTGAAGCCATGATCTCTCTTGGATGGTGCCTTGGATGGAAGCGCTGGTGTGGCGTCTGCCTGCTCTGCTTCTATGGCATTGCTCGAGCTGGCGAGGTCCTAAAATGCCGTCGTGAAGACCTTCTCCTCCCCTGTGACATGATGTATGAATGTGATGCTGCCTTTCTCCTGTTACGGCAGTCGAAAACAAGCTTCAGGCAGTTGGCGAAGGTTCAGCATCTGAAGATTTCCAGTATGCATGTTGTGAGGCTCTTGAATTTGATCTACCGGGGTGCAGATCGCTTGGATGTGCTTTTCCCTGGCAGTGCTCATGTTTTTAGGCGGCGATGGAACCATGTGCTGAAGTTGCTCCTGGTCCCGGACGCCATGCACGTGACTCCTGGTGGCCTACGAGGAGGCGGAGCCGTTTCTTGCTACCGGAAAGGAGCTTCGATCCCGGACCTTCTCTGGGCTATGCGGCTGAAGCAGGTCGCAACACTGGAAGCTTACCTCCAAGAGGTTGCTGCTCTCAGTGTCCTCACGGAGTTACCGTGGAACTCTCGCAGAGCCATTCGAAGTGCTGCCTCTCTCTTTAACCACCTGCACTAAGCTGGGGTCTACGACGACAACGCGAGGCTTCGCCTTGTGTGGCTGCTTTGGCCTGTCCCTTCACCCAAGAGCGCCTGTCTAAAGGATGGTGGAGGGGCTCCTTTGGTGCTTGCTGCTTGAGCCCTTCTTTCTTCGAGCTACTTGCCTGTGGAGCTCTACATGGACTTCCCTGACGAGCTCTACTTCGCTGGCTTTGCTACGGTGGCTTCGAGCGGCTGCGCTGGCACCAACCCTCGCCAAGCCTTTCTGGCGCTGAGAAATAAAGTGCCAGCTGGTTTACTGTGGCAGCGTCGTGGGATAGATTAACATGACACCTCATGTTCATTCTTTCACTCGGCTGCAGCTTCTACGGCCCGTCCCTCCTCCCCGGCAAGCCGCGCTGGGTGGAGGGGCTCCTTTGGTGCTTGCTGCTTGAGCCCTTCTTTCTTCGAGCTACTTGCCTGTGGAGCTCTACATGGACTTCCCTGACGAGCTCTACTTCGCTGGCTTTGCTACGTTGGCTTCGAGCGGCTGCGCTGGCACCAACCCTCGCCAAGCCTTTCTGGCGCTGAGAAATAAAGTGCCAGCTGGTTTACTGTGGCAGCGTCGTGGGATAGATTAACATGTATATATTTACATATATACATACGTATATATATATATACACATACATATATACATACATACATACATACATACATACATACATATATACATACATATATACATACATATACATAAATATATATATACACATAAATACACATATATATATGTAAATATATATACATATACATATATACATATATACATTTATATATGAATATATATACATATGTACATATATACATATATACATATATACATATATAAATATATACATATATACATATATACATATATACATAATACATATATACATATATACATACATATATACATACATACATATATACATATATACATAAATGCATGTATACATATACACATATATACATATATACATATATTGTGGTTGTCCCCAAGCACACCCAGGAACAGCTGTTGCGACCATTTTTACGCGCGCGGTCGCGGGAGGTGACGTGAGGCTAAGTGAAAAGCACGGAGCTACCTAAGCAACTACTACGAGCCACTTGAGCCAACAGAACAAGTGAAACAACTGTACAACCTTTACACATGCAAAAACTACATAGGGGGGTGGACTAGCACTCACTACAATATACATATATACATATACATATATACATATATATATATACATACATACATACATATATACATACATACATATATACATACATACATACATACATACATACATATATACATATATACATATATACATATATACATACATACATACATATATATATATACATATACATATATACATATATACATATATACATATATATATATACATATATATATATATATATATACATATGTAATTATACGGCAAAGGCTAGAGATTCCCCGAAGCTCACGTCTTGGCTTTGAACCAGGATATCAAAACCCATCAAAACCCGCATTTTTTCCGAGATGGTGGGGTGGAGCTGCCCAGGGGGTCGCATCAATTTTTGTTGTACCATGCAGAATTGGGTATAGAAATGTATAGAAATGCGTCAACATATCATTCATTTGTTGTATTCGAGTTGTTTCGCAACCAGAACCGCCCGCACCAAGAGAATTGGATAGAGAAGAAAGGAGCGGGCGTACTTGGCCCAACCAAAGCCGAGTTGGGCTTTACGTGTGCAACTTGGTCCTGTTGGGGGCAGCTGCCAACCCCGTTCAAGGCCAAAAAACAAACTGGTCGCATTGAGTTCGCAAAGTTGGCCCGGGTTGGGCCCAGCTTGGGCTGCCCCTCAAAGGGGCCCAAGTTGCGCTATCTTGGACCCAACTGGAGCCCACACACACAGGCAGACAGACAGGCAGGCAGGCAGAAGACAGACAGACAGACAGCCAGACAGCCACACATGCACACACACACACACAGTATGTGTGCATATACGTACGTACGTACGTACGTATATATATATATATGTATGTATATGGTACAAGCCTGCAACCCCCACCCCCGATTCACTTTTTAATATGTATGTATATACACTTAAGCATTGTAGTGCGTATGCATGCATGCACTTGTGCAAATGGACATAACACGTACTGTACACGTCCATATCCAGATAGACATGCACACATCGAATATCCACATAGAATGTATATAGCTAGACAGATGTATCCAAACATACTTTGTCCGCAGATTTACGTACATCTAACATATGTACCGGTATATATGTATATACACACCAAATGTCAGCCATTGTCTACTAGTTACGAGTGAGTACCTGGATCCCACTGCAGCTGTGCCATTTGCGCATGCTGTGCTGTGCGGTGCATGGAGTGCGCTACCAATGATTCTTCGGCCAATGAGAACTTTGGCTCCATCCACCCTGTATTCCGGGTTGTGTTTTCTCAGAGTACGGTACCAATTGGAGATGGAAAAGCACAATGGAAAAACATGGCATCAATGATCAGGAACTCTGTCATTTAGTAGCCTGCCATCATATGGCTCAAACGTGGTGATTTCCACGAGACATACGCACACACACACACATCCGCATAGAAAGAGCATTTATGCACTCTGCAACATGGACCTGGTTGCACTGACATGTAAGTACTGCTTTGATGACATGTAAGTAAAACAGTGGGATTATTGTTGGTAGATCATTCAAATTCATATTCCAACAGATCCTTCACTTCAGTTTCATGTTGCGGTAGCCAGCATGTCTACAGTACGGCCTACTAGTTGCGTTATCAAACAGCTACCTGTCCATACAAACATGATTGCAACGAGTACGCTGCAAGGCTCCGTCAAAGATAGGTCAGCTGGTCGAAGAGCCCCATGCTGAGAAAACCGCCAAGCGGATCCTGACCGTTCAGACTGAGCTGCTTCAGCAAAAAAATGCGCAGCACAGTCAGTGCTGATTCCTCTATAAGATGTCCCAAGTTTGTCAAGGCCCCAAAGTGCCTCGACATTTTTTTGCGCTGCGTCATGCAAGTATACGATTCGTTGGGCAGGGACAGGTCATGCTAGGTGCCACCTACGTGGAGCCGTCTAGCCTTGGGATAGTTGCAGCTCTCACATGTCATCGGTCCTTCAAACGTGTCCATCGGTTTCAAGTTTCATTCCTGGGTTGTTGCGCTGGTGAGAGGGATGTTGCCTATCATTTTTTCTATTCTATTCCTCTTCAGAATGGACACTCTCGCAATTTGAGTCAGGCACGCTGTGCTGTGCACGCAATCCTAGATATGCCACATCTTTACCCATAGAAGTTTGGTCGGATCAATTGAGATGTCTTCCTCGATAGTGCTGGACATTCAGCGATACATGAAGCCACTTCAACACCGAAGAGCAGTTCTTAAATTCTGTTGGCATCCCGGCAAAATAGGAATGTCCAAGCAGCAAAACCAGCAAACTTCATTCCCATCTGCGGACCATGTGCAGTTCTGCCTATCCCAAGACGCGAAACTAGGTTCCGGGGTCCCCATGTGCCCATGAATCGCGCATTGGGAGAAGCTGGAGGGTCACATCCCCAACTTGGCGACATCTAAACATTGGAAGATGGACAGTACCAACCCCTTAGACCAGCCTGTGGCATCTAACTTGAAGATACTTGAAGAAGGTTTGAATCATGAAGTGACTCAGTACCTGCCCCACCAATTTCCAAAATGTACCAGCGCTTCGATTATCACAATCCCTATCAGAGAGTTCCAACTTTTGGCATCATTGGCAGGAACAGACACATGGAAGTTTGCATCATCATAACTGGCCATGGCATCACTAATGCCAGCGTCCCTTACTGAGAGGGCATCAGATGTTGAGTAGATTTTTGGGACAACTGACCTTTGCTTCGCTCTTTGCTTCACTGTTTGCTTCGCTCTTTGTCACATAGCGACAAGCAGACATCGTTGGGCACTTCACAAAATCGCAGGTGTACACAAATTGCCAGCAAGGTGTTTATTGCATCTGGCTTTATCCAAGTCAAGGAGTTTGAGCGCATGCTCCAAAAGGTTGTTGCGTTGCGTTCTGCTCTTGCGAGATGTGGTGCCACAAGGAAGCATTGTGTCATGGTGTAAACAAATAACCACAAGTTACACTTCGAACTTTTCAGCATGGCCAGATACATGATCCGAAATGTCTGATTTGGATTGATTTGTCAGTCTTGTCACTGTTCTCTTTCGGCTGGCGCAGATCCACATCTTCACATTCCTGATATTCTTCGCTGATTGTCTGATTGTGTTCGCTTGCGAAAAGAGCTGCAGACACCTGGGGTCGTTTTTTGGGTTCGCCATCCTGTTGTTCTGCCAACCGGCTTGGGCCAAGCTTAGGTCCTGGTATCAAAATCAACGTGGCAGAGTCCATTTGATCGTCAGATTCAACTAGCCATAGATATCATACATAAGACCTGGCTGCTGTGGAGATGAGGAAGGTGCACCTGGATCCGAAGCTAGGTTCATGATGGGTGCCATGCGTGGCAGCAAGCAAGAAAGCAGCTGGTGTTGCAGGCAGCCCCAGGAGACCGGGGGGTCATGCTACTCGTTGGCTCGCAGTGATCGCAATACGGAAAACCAGGGTTGGGTGTATCCAGTTCCCGGAATGGTGTTTGTGGTTCCCGTGGTGTTTTTTTTTCTCGGGAGGGTGTTTGTGGTTCCCACAAAGGTGTGTCTGGTTCACACGGTGTTTTGGGTTCCCGCTTGGGTGTTTTGGGTTCCCACCAATCTACGATCGCGAGCTTGCAGTGAACACATTTAACCAGCTGAAGCCATGGAATGGTGGTGGTGGTGGTGGGTGCGCCCCCGAGGCAGCCAAAAAAAAGAAGCTGGAGGGGGGCTCGCCGAAGTGAACACATTGACCAAGCTGAAGCCATGGAACAAGGGACAGCGTGCTGTTGTTGTTGTTGTTGTGGTTGTGGTTGTGGTTGTGGTTGTGGTTGTTGTGGTTGTGGTTGTGGTTGTGG